CATGCACGACAGGGCTCAGCAGAGAGGCACGTGTTAGCATTCTTGTGTAAAGAGGTGAGATTACGGCCTGAGTAAGGCACTGGCCTCCTGGTGAGAGCATAAGCCAAGTCGGGAAGCAGAGGTCTCCACCTGCCTCTGAGACGGAGTCACTATCCCAGTGCTGCTCTTCCATTTAAGAAAACTAAATGTGGTGACACCAGTCAAGGGTTTACATTTATACAGGTTTTGAGAAGAAAACACTTGCTGAATTAGGATACGGTGGCAGCAGTGGTGGCGGTGGTGGTGGTGGGATGACGTTGAGGAACAGACTTGAGCCTGAAAACCTAACCCATCCCTTAGGTTCTTTACAGAGACAGAATGAGAAGAACCACCGCGGATGCTACTGGAGGATACCTCAGAACCTTCCCAGAGCAGCCCCCGCCAGGCCCTTCCTGCCTGACTTGCCGCCATCAGACGGTAGGTCCTCACCCAGTCTTATGACAAGGGACTCCACATCCGTGTAATGAGAGTGCTATGAAAGCTCTCACGTTAAAAGGCTTCCTACTCACAAGGGTTGAAAATTACAAAGTAGACTGAGGTTTCTTCCCTTCCTCATTTTACTAATTTTGAGCTGAAAATGGGACTTAGAATTTTATACCGGGGCAAAATATATCCTGAGCACAATCATTACATGGTAGCAAGATCTATGCTTCGGCCATAAAAATTTGGGGGGCAGGAAAAGCTCTAGAAATCATTAAGTCTGATAGGAAAAACTCAGGTAGGGGACATAAGCCTATCACCACAGTGCTGGGTACAAAATGATCACAAGAACAACTTCAGCTCTGATCCTGGGCAGCGTGAGGACGCAGAAGAAGAGCCAGGATCGAGGTGCGACAATTCCGTCTGCGAGCTGAGCAACCCTAGACAACTCCAAGTTCACGTCCATAAAACGTGTAACAGAACAGTGTGCGTGCATCCCAGGGCTCAAGGTAGATGACGCAGACGGAAGTGCTTTCTCAGCCAGAAGGAGCTAAAGTGAATGTGACTTGTTGCCATCATTCTAACAACGACCTTCCGGTCACAAATAATTGTCTGTTTCATTTTCGGTAATTTTTCCGCCAAAGAGCAATAAATGCTCCATTTTATTTGATCTGAATGACAAGATGATGATTTATTTGACCGCTATGGTGCCACTGTGAATTTTGCACGTCATTTTCCAAGTGTATGATTCCGTCCTTTTCTCTTGTCAGGGGTAAAAGCTGGAGGGAACGTCTACTCAGTCCCACCGCACTGCAGTATCGAACTTCCTTTGCGAAGGGGTCACTTTCCTACGTCAGTACTGAAAAGCACACAGTCGCTTTACCCAGTTCAAGGTGAAATGCAGTGAGTAAATCTGCTGTCGTCAAAATTCCTTCCTCTCTATTGACTAGGGAGAGGAGCCTGTGGGCTGGGGCACGGTCGGAGTGCAGACTGTACTTCGGCTCTGCCGCGCCTTTTAGAACTTAACCTGGGACCGAAAGTGGAGCAATCTGCGGTCACATGAGCGGGGCAGCGTCATGTGCACCCGCCACTTCTTGTTGGGGTGTCTGGAGAAGCGAAGGTGGGGCAAGCAGAGCATGAGGAAGTAGGTCATGGGGAGAGGAAATACAAGGCCAAGACACAGTGGGAAAAGTCCCACCTCTGTCCCTTACCATCCCCTGTGATTAAGTAAACGAAGTAATTCTACTCTAGTAGCCATTCTTTGCTGTGAAAAACTGCCGAATCTAATACCCTTAGCAAACATAACTCTTGACCTACTGGCAATGCTTAGAGAAGAAAGCTAGCATCAATATATTTTACAGCCTACTAATTGTTTAATCAAAGCTCTCACAGTAAATGGACCGGTGTAATTTTTCTGTTGCTTTATCCCTAACTTCCCACCCTAACTAGTAAGGTGCAGCAAAGGTCTAGGAAGGTTGGGTTATCTCAGGATACGGGCACGCGTCATTAGCTTAGGCCAGCACTGCTAATATTTACTGTTCTCATGTCATTCACTATGGGAAAGCGAGAAAGTTAATCTGAGGCGCTTGATGGAGAAGGAAAGGTGAAAAAATACAGAGATGGCTTTGCTGGGACAGAGAGAGGGCCTCAGAGAGGTACATGGAAAATGAGGCACACCAGCTGGTCATAAAGGAAATCGAGGGCATTATCACGCGGTGAGGCACCAGGTATGGTTCACAGAAAGCAGACACGGGGGAGGATGTGATCTCGGGCGGAAGTTGAAGTGCACAGGGGCGGGCAGGCCCCTCGTCGGCTGTCAGTACTCTAATAAGAAAAGTCACAAGCAATGAAGCAAGTTACATTTCATGGTGGGGCAACAGGCAGTCCCACCAGCTCCACATTGGAAAAAGGTCAGGAAAACGTCAGACTGAGGTTTATATCTTGAACAAAGATGAACTAAAAGGAGGTAATGTTTGGTTGTTTTTTAAAAAAAAGAATTTCACCTGGAGATGCAGCTCCGCAGTAGGGCATGTGTCCAGTCCTATCTGGACACAGCTCCAGTCGTCCCACCTGCTACTGGGCTGTAACTCTCCCCGGCACTAAGCTGTCTGCTCACCTAACTAGATATTCCTCCAGTTCACCCATGGCCACTGCCCTTAAAGGTACCCCAAAGCTCATCCAGCACGAGCTGGATGTGGTCAGCAGGTTGGCACAAAGGCCAGCGGCTCAAATGCCCCCAGCCCACCCTGTCACGGAGCAGGCCCAGGCCCGTTAACAGCAGAGCCCGCTTTAGCTGCCTGGAATCCACACCTTGAGGTCACAGCCAACGCCAGGCTTTGTGATCGTCCTGCTTCTAAGTCATAAAGATTTAGAAAAGAACACCCCGCCCTGCTTATTTCTAAGTCAGAAAAAATTATTCTTTGTAGTAACAGTAATTACAGAGGCTTTGACTTGGGCCTTGAAATCTTTTACAATGACAAGATAATGCTTTATGACACAGGCGAGACAAAGTCAAACACAAAATCCCCCTCAACAGAAGCAGGTCGTTCTCCAGGTATAATACACACACCTCCTGTGCCTCTAGTCTACCCCGCAGGGTGCTGGGCACAGGTTAGGCCCTCAGACAGGCCAGACCAGCACTGACCTCTCGGGCCTCCAGCCATGTGTCCCACTTCTCCATATCCTTGTTTGGTATTACAAACCTCCACTATATTCTTCAAGGCTCTTATTCAAATACGAGACACCCAAGCCCCACCCAAGCAGAGGACCTCATTTATTGGTGCCAAGTCCCTACAAGTTTATCAGACTTCTGCCTCCTCCATTTCCTGCCCTGCTGTCTACCCAACGCCGAGAGCTGTGCCCAGCCTGTCACCCTTCCTCACATCAGAGCAGCACTCTCAGACCATGATCTGCAACCCCTGGAGTCCCGTGAACTCCTACGGCAGAGGGCCGGCACGGGGAATCTGAGGTCAGCAAGCCCGCTGGATCCTTCCCTTCCCCTCTGCTCCATGTCAGCAGTCTTGCTCCTGTTTACGTCAGACGTCGGCACTCCTGTTCACATTTGCATTTCCTACTCAGATGAGGAAGCTACGAAGCCCACCGAGTTCTAGCAGATGAGGGGAGGGGTGAGTAGGCTGATTTGCTGATTCATTTCTTTTTTTGTGTTGGTTTTTTCCGGTACCGGGAATCGAACTCATGACCTCGTGCTTGCCAGGCAGGCGCTGTGCCGCTGAGCTAAATCCCCAGCCCCTGTGCTGATTCATTTCTACTGGAACAATGGGGTTTCCTAGCTTTCACCAAGAGGCTCTGAAGGGCTAGAGTCCATGATAGCTCCTTACCTGACCTGCACGATCTCCTTGAAGTAGGAATTACCATTCCTGCTTTATGGGCAAGTAAACTAAAAAGGCAGGACATTCTGGAGGTGATATGGCTAGGACACAAACTCTGCTCATTAGAGTCTGAACTCCACCTCTACCCAAACACTCTGCTGCAAAGTTTGTATTCTCATCCCATCTTCCTTGAAGTACATTCCTTGTGTATCATTCATTCCTTTGATCTTGTCTTCCCAAGAAGGCCTTATCAATTTCCCAATTGAAAGAATGTCTGAGGGAAGAAGTAGGCAACCTTTCTCGAGAACGTCCGTGAAGCTTTTGTGCATCACAATGGGTTATACGGTGGGCAGGCTTCCTGGCATAAACCACTCATGGCCGATACTGAGGAACGAAGTGAGTAAGTTGCTGGACGTGACTAACAGACTCAGTGAAACTACTAGAGGCAGTAGCTGGCCTCATGCATATGTACTTTTCTTTGATATACCAGGCACATGGCTGTGTTTCTAGGTAACTTGTCTCTGCTGAACTATACCTCAGGAAACATCTGACTCCAAAATAAACAAGTGAGCAGCCCTCGGTGAGTACTGGCAATATTACATGGGTGCTTTTCAGAAGGCTTGAACGAGAAAGAATGAGAAGGGGAAGGACAGGAAAGGAATATAGTTCCTTTTGTAAAGAATGCTGAGGTCGGGGGCTGGGGATTTAGCTCAGCAGCACAGCGCCTGCCTGGCAGGCGCAAGGTTGTGAGTTTGATTCCTGGTACCGGAAAAAAACAAACAAACAAAATAAAGAACGCTGAGGTCTTAATAGTATCTGTACTTTAGATTCATACCTTAAACACAATATAGGTATGATTTAAAAGTTGCTGCACTGACACATGGAAATGTTTATCTAAAGCACTGAGCAAAGGGGTTGATTCAGCCACAGTGTTTCTGTGCCTGGTGGGGAAATGATATCGGCGTGAAGAGGCTGACCTGGGTGTAACAGACGAGACCCAAGTCACATCTGGGCACGCGCGCGCACACACACTGTGTGAAACTCTCCCTACTGTCTCCAAGGACGTGTACTTCGGAAGGGCTTTTTTCCTCATAACCACACTTGGAAATTTTCAAAGGAAGTTCTGTTTCCTCAAATGGCAGTTGCATCCTGAATTTGAAGCAGGACGGTCTCTGCAAATTTACACACAAACCGGGCTTTTTACCACCTTACCTGAGCAGAAAAGTCGATGAGCTTCGGGAGCAGCACTTTGCCTCCTTCATCACTCTTGAGGAAATCCAGCAAACTGCCTGTTTACACGGGAAACGCGGGTCAGTGCGGGTCCCACACACAAGAGGGAGATCCAAACGCAACTCAAATGTCATTCCCGCCGGGGGAGGGGCCCCACAGAATGACTGCTTTGCAGTGCTACGCGGGCTTTCCCTGAGACTGGTCACACTCACTTCCTTCCAGTCTTTGACCTTTGACCTGATATGAAGCAGCACGTGCTCCAGGTGAGGAAGGACACTGGTGGACAAAGCCTTTGTCTCAACATGTGTGTGGAGTAACACACGTCCAAGCACCTACCATCCTAGTTAGCTTCCTGTAGCCAGGTCCTTAGTGAGCGCCTCTGGAACAGAAAGCCAGCCAGCAAGTCCTCATAGAGAAAGCCGTCCTCGGACACCGGGCTAGGCTCACCCCCAAATGCCTCCAGAAAAAGGCGCAGGTTCTGCACATGCCACAGGCCTCCTCAGTAGTATCTGAGGAACCAACTGTGCGCTGGACAAAAGGTCAAACCCATCTGAGTAGGAGTGTGCTGAGAGACAAACTCTCCTACTCCCCGGTCTCGTGTCTAGAACGAGACTGCCGTTTCCCCGGAGGTGAAGGACCAGTCTTCTGAGCAGCCTTGGTCACATCACTGACTTCAGGTAAGTGTCAGTAACGCGAGTGGGCACGGGAGCTCCACTGGAGTCCTTGTGTGGATGTAATCACAGACAGATATAAAGCACACGACATGGTATTTTGCAGGCAGTAAGTGTTCAATAAATGTTATACTATCTCCTCACCTCTGACACAGAACAATAGCACTTAGCCCTTAGCTGCTGAAAAGAGTCATCTGTGGAAGGTCTGGAGAACAATTTTGGAGGTAGTGGGCTCAATAAATGTTTGGTACTGTTACAAAGAAACCACTATTGCTATATTTATGGTTAAGTATCATACTCATTAATTCAGCAACATGTGCTGGACCACAAAGCATCTGGCCCTAAGTCTGGTTTCTGGGAACCAGCAACCCAAGGGATACGGGTTAATTTGTTTGTTCTGTTTTATTTTTAGAAGGTCTTTTTGGAAGGACTCTGAGTAACTGCTATCCCTAAATGTTAACAGATACTCAACAATATTTTCTCTTTCTAACCTCTTTGGCTACATCACCCGTTAATCTCCATTATGCATGAGTGATTATTAACTTTCTTCATGCCTTTCTTGCCTTCACTCATTATTTCTGAAGACCTAAATCTTTTTTCAGATCATTTAAAAGTTTGTTAGTATCTCTACAATACTGGGGAAAGAGAACAAAAGAGGGACAGCGATTCGAAGCCTTTTTTCTGAAGGTGATAACAATGGAAGAGAAGATTGTTGTTTGGGATGCTTCTTTAGATGTTCTGTAATTCCACATGAAGTCAACCTCCAAGTGTTTCAGATATGTTAACTCGTTTTTGAATTCTACCCAACCACTGTACCACCACTCCATGTCCTAAGCCCCCATATTCACTGTAACCCTGACCATTTTGATAATGCTAAAGAAAAAAATGAACTGGTTGTATCATTTTGAGTATTCACCTTTTAAGGTATAACAAAAATATTCTCCTTTGAAAGACATACTCATTTGTTTGACAAATACTGTGTTCACTAGGGTCTCTTACGTATATGGAACTATTCTTGGAGCTAACAGGCATAAGCAAGCAGATGCACAAAGAACAGAACTATATATCAATTTTATGACATGGGTTAAGTTCTCATGTGTAGATTTATAAAAATGGTTTGTTTTCTTTTTTTTAGTTTTTCAATAGCAAGTATGTTATTATAAAATTAAAAGTGGGTGTTCTCAGAACTTCATAGTTTGGTTTTTGAGTCTGAAGCCTTTTAAAGGTACTGGCAGTTTGGAAATATAGCTAGTGGCAGAGTGTTTGCCTAGAGTGTGCCAGGTCTGTGGTATAATCCCTAGCACCTCAAGATAACTGAAAGGAAGGAGGGAAAGAAGGAAGGAAGGAAGGAAGGAAGGAAGGAAGGAAGGAAGGAAGGAAAGAAGGAAAGA